TTTCATATCTCGCAAATATTCAAAAAATAGATTCACCTAGCCGGAATCGAATCCGGGTCTAACCCGTGGCAGGATATATATATATATAATATTCATATATACTTGAATACATATTCATAAATATATATCATATCTCGCAAATATTAAAAAAATAGATTCACCTAGCCGGAAATCGAATCCGGGTCTACCCCGTGGCAGGGGGCAATTATACCACTAAACCACTAGGTATTATTTTTAAATTTAACTTCTAAATATAAGTATTGCAAGTAAATAAAATTGACACGAGTGAGAGTGAAATATGATTGAAAATACTAAGTTGGATGTGCATATTATCAGCATATAGATAGCAGTGTTGACGCGCCGTTTCTGTGTTATTATATATATATATAAAGCCTTCTTATATGCTAGTTGTAAGTGAATGGACAGTATTCAAGATGACCTCGATATTCAACTTGTACAACACATGCCCCTGAAGTATCAAACAACATTATGTACCATTTGTTCTAGTGTTGTTTTTAGTGTCAAAGTATAGGCAATATCATGGCACTCCGTGCATTTTTCATCGATAGTAGTAGAGCATACTGGTTTCCATGATCTGATATGTTTGACCAGTCAAATATAACTATCAAGGAGATAATATGTGCAGCTCGTCCATCGTTCAGTGCGGGGAGGATCTTTATGTTAAGAATATAAACTATATGTATAAGGCAGAATGTCAAATGCGGTTCAGATTTGGATGTGGTATGCGCAATTAGCACCTACATATGTCCTGAGCTTTCTAATCGTAGATACAGATAGCATCAGTCGAGGGCGTATAAAACAGTGAGGCAGTCAACCGCGAAGGATACTACGAGGCATATGCATCATTTTCATTTCTGGTCGAGCTTACAACATTTGTACTCTCAGTTCACCAACGTTGTACTGGCGTACATTATCAAACAACAGTGGCCGGCACCAAGTTCGAGCATCTCCACATACACCACCGGCAAGACTACGCCTACTGAACAGTTCAGTATACGGCGGTATATAGTATACAAATAGGCCTCGGTACTGATGCCGCTCAGGATTTTGAGTCTATGGATATTCACGGTCTTCGCTACACTAGCAAATGGGTCACCAGGGCTACCACCGCTCTGGTGACTTATTTGTTGACACAACTTGGCAAGGGTCATTTGCGCCTCAGAATATCGTTGGTGATCTTGTGACTCATCTTTTTTGTTCGTGACTACTATGTTTCATGTATATAACAAAAATAGTTGCCAGCTACGTACCACTGTTCGATTGGCGACTATAGTGGTGAATATATCTCTGTATAATTGTGTTACGATTAAGTGCTATATTCGTGTGTGATCTTACAGTGGCAATTGTCTAATTTGTTTATTGATGGCTGATGGTATATGTGTCAAGGCACAGGAAGAATGTCGGTTCGACCATGTACATGCTTTAGAGCTTAGATGGAATAGTCAACTCGTTATTCAAATCAAACTTCTAAAAGCTAGTCAGTATATATCGCATTGTTTCAAAATAGTCGGGCGAACAAATGCCCATTCTATAGCCGCCACAAGATAGTAGTAGCGCACGACATACGCATATAATGCGAACGAGTCCATACCGTAGGTACAGCGAGCTTGGTACAAAGGTGCTGATCTGAAATCTGTGGAAGGTCGTATACAAAAGAAGTGTTAAACTTGCGTATATGTTTGGTTGACGACATAAAGCGCGCCCTAAAATTGAAACGTGCTACACACTACACAATTTCGTAATAGCAATAAAAATTGTATTAAAATACATTTCATCATCCCTATCATCATGCTGATATCATAAATATACAAATTTACTGCTAGAAAGTGGCCATGTAATATATCTTCAAATAGCCAGTCACCCGGGAATTCGATATAGCATGCTGACCAGACGGTCACTTCGCTGATATAGATAGGCATTTCGGTTTAGTGATGATACACCATCGACGGAATGTTTTGAAATTCTACACACAAAGACTGCTTTCCCGTATTGCCAAAGGTATAACAGAGTATATAGTGCAGCAAAATGAGATGAACTGATATTACATTAAGGAAGCTGTTTCTTATTTCGTACTTCGAAGGTACGATTGTGTGACGTTAAAAACGTTGTACCAACCGGGTAAGTAATATGTATAATAAAGTTCAAGTTAGAATGAAGAGAGTGTGAGGTAGGCGTGAATCAATATCAGCAAAGCAGTGACCATACCAGTTACATTGCATGTTCTGAACGAAATGCACAAGGATATTATAAATTACGTAATTATCAAAAGACATTTGCTTGATATTTAATCAATTTTATAGTGTTCAGAAGTATATAGTAAGGAGTGGATCAGTCAGTTCATTTCCAGCTTACCTAACAAATAATACTACAAATAATAAAATTCGAAAGCATTGAGACAAGGTGTTAAACACAAGCAAGCAAAGCATTGAACATATGAATGATACTGCAGACAATATATCTTAACGAGTACGGGTATCCTATAGTCTGCAACCAGCGTAAGCATTTTTTTTTTTTTGGGATAATCAAATTTAATTTCTGATACATGGAGCTCGCGGTCAATAGACTTAGTTCATCTCCTTATTACCACACATCAGTTAAATACTACAAAGAAGATACTTCAATGGCAATAAGAATAGTGCCCAACATTAGTATGATAATTGATACTGTTACCTTTCGATAGCTCGACAATTAAAAAAGAGGGTCAGTGAGTCTGGCATTGAAGCTCAAATATCGAATAGAGTAGCTTGGGTTTCTGAAACCTAATATCGTATGGGCCACCATACAACTGTATTATATCGGTTGTACGACCATGGTCATACTCCGCGATGGTATAATGACGATTCGTTGGATCCGATTGGCTGTACTACTTTTTCATTATATAACTTTGCAACTACCTTAACAAATTGATTCAAATTGCAAAGGTGTTTTTTACTCCAAGAAGGTATTTTTCAGCTTTCATCAATTCATAAGTCATACAGTAGGTAGTATAAATGTAGCGTTTTGTACAACCCTGTTTGACCTTTTGAAATCCATGAAATCCCATTCAAAAGTCGTATGTACATTTAACACCGTGCGAAGCTGCAAGATAGTAAAAACAAAAATTAAAACAAAAAGCACACTATGTGCATGTATTATTCATAAATATAGCATACTAGTTCACATAAAGATGATGCAGGCTAAGGCTATGGTAGAATATGCCAAGAATATGAGACGGTTTTTGGAGTATTGGAGGCCAGAAAAAACCTGGGACGAATAGTATCCTGACACGCAAATGATACCATATTATGAGTTAATAGACATCTTGCCATCAGATATTTGTGACTACTTCAATAAGTTGGCCTATGGGACGGAAGATCCAGGACCAGAAGACTTCCCTACACATCGTAGGAAAGCTGGCTTAGAATTCATGAAAAAATCGATATCTAAATTTATGCCACGTAAACGCTTGGAGTGGGATCCAGTGGGAATGAAAGGGAATCCAACTCGTTCTGGAGAGGTAAATGACTTGCTCAAAGCGATCAAACGTTTTGAGACAAGAGGTGAAGGAAAAGCGGCCTTCTCCAAACGACCCCTAGAGTTCGATGAAATTATGTCTATTCTAACGACCAACATCGAAAATACTGCTTTCCAGGATAGCGGGCTACATGGTTTATGGGCATGGACTTTCCAGTTGATATGTCGTGTAGATGATGCGACGAATATCACATACAGTAATCTAAAATACAACGAAGACCATCCTGATGAGGTTTTTTCTTGAGATGACTAGGAGCAAAAACATTGCTAAGAAACCGCGGCGAGTAGACAAGTTGTGCTTGGATCTCTAGACCCATATATTTGTGCACTCTCAGCACTCACAGCACATATCATTGATCGACTTCGTGGTCGTTCAACATTTAGCAACTTAGATCTCGGCTACATGTTCACATACAATGGATCGACTGGGCGAGACGAGAAATTAAGAACCGGTGTGTCACGCAGTAGAATCAAAAAGATTATCTCTTTACCCGAGTTTAAGGCCAAAGGAGAGATAAGTGAACTTGGTACGCATAGTATGCGTAAATGTAGTGCAACATATATACAGCGACGAGGGCTCACAGAAATACGAAGTACTAGACAAGTGGATACCTATTCAAGTGATCTTATGCCATTCCCTGATGCGAGAGTGTCTGAAATTCTTTGTGGACCGCGTGGGGCCTGTAAGTATCGTGTTAGCAATGATTTTAGTGCTATTGTTACCACTGAAGTTTTGAGTACAGTTGTTGAGGGTCTATACGATCTTCCTTTCTGCACGCACAGCACAAAATAATAATAGATACTGTAGCGTTGTGGCTGGGTCTTGATAGAAGTATTCTCGTCCATGATACTTTTCATGAACATTCTATCACCTTGATCAAGAATAACAGTCCAAATATATCAGATGACGAAATACGAAAGGTTGTTTTACGTGTGCCAGTTGTCATCATCATTGCAGGTGCTGCCGATTTATGTGCTCAGAAGGTAGAAGGCATCAGTTCCAATGGTAATCCTAATGCTACCAATGTTACAGAATTACAAAATCAAATTATATCCTTGATATCAGAAGTTATAAATTTAAAACAAATGTTACAGACTTCCGAAGCAAAAAGTTGCGCACGAAATCAGCAGCTGAGGGCGGAGCTCAAGCGAACACGGCGTGAGCTGATGAGCCAATTCAATACCCTGAATTTCCGTGCAAGACAAGTCGCTACTAGCGGAAACCAGCCAATCAACAACGATAATGCAAATAGTGAGAACGCACACAACAATGGTGAAAGCAGCAACAGTAACAACAGCGATAATCGTCCCGCAGAATTGATAGACGGTCCGAAATCGCTCAGAATACTCTAGGACGAGTACGAGAGATATATGAATGGAAACAAACCGGCGAGTATTTTTACGCGCGCAGAGAGAGGTAGTGTAAAGGGAGTTTATAGCTTTCGACTAACTTTCTGGAGGGCAATGGAGAGGCTCATCGCCCGCGGTAATTCGATAGATTTGTCGATTGAGAAGCTCTATTATGCATATGGTGAAACACTAAGCATTTCGGGCCTAATACGTGAGATCAGAAAGGACAAGCAATTGAAAAAAGTGCTACAACATGAACAACAACAATTTAAACCAAAAAAACAAAAAGAAGCTCGGTCAATTTGTACCGGGGACGCAGGTTGTACATGGGGTCGTACACGGACTATACATTTATGTAATATGTAGTCAAGCATTGCGCTGTAATTAATTTAGTACTGTATAGATTCGCCGCCGGTCAATCAATTCGGTCAATATGTTTGTTACTGCGTGAAAACACCCTTTCTAGCGTATACAACGCAGTCTTGTATATATTTCCCAGTATGGTTCTGGATTTTGTATACAGCATTGGTATGTACTACGAATATTACTGATTGGTGTCACGGCCTTAATGATATCCTGATATTAAAGTTCACGTATATGATCTGTTATTGTCTGACGTATATGATCTGTTATCGTCTGTGTTTAGTTTTACATAATCACGGTATATAATGATATGGATACTTATCGAAAAATTCGCAACTACATGTGGGTACTGAAAAAAAATTGCGATGTAAGGATGTTTGTATATGGTGTTGCCAATAAAATCACCAACCGTTAACCTCCATTTCTCGGCGGTCTATATGTATTTTGCTAAAGTCGTGACTAGCATTACATAATGCTCTCTGTACACAATCGTTGTTTGCTTATCGATACTGGATAAATATATGCTTATCGATACCGGATATATATATATATATATATATATGTATGTATGTGTGTGTGTGAG